TCCCTTTTATTAAAGTCCAAGTTATCATTACATGGTTTGATACTCAATAAAGGAAAACTTGTTCAAATAAGGTAGTATATGTTATCACCAGCATTTCCAGGTGACCGTATACAATCAAGTAGCAATACCAATAAATCTGTGGGAAGCCCAGAGATGTCAAGGCCCAGTTCCTCTGGAGTGGAGATTCCCAGTTCTTTTAAAGTTGGTCTAAGTTCCTGGGATAGATTTCCTTATGAGGTCCTGCTTTGTCCTTAACAACCTCTAGGATGCGAACAGCACTAGCAAATAGCTGCAAGCTTGCAAAGCAGCATCAATGATTTTGGGTTCTGGAACCAGATCATAGCCAACAAGAGTGTTCATCCCTTTATGCAATTCCCAGGCATCTATGTCTGGCTTGTTGAAATATATCACCCAGCAAGCATCAAACTCCTCATCTGTCTCATGTGACCCATGGAAATAACAGCAAGCTGACTGGATAGTGGCCGTGACGGTGGGGCTGCGGGCCAGGGCTGCTGCTGCCATAGCACAGCGATGAAGGCGGTATACTGGCTGAGGCAGGAAAGAAGCTAGGCGTGAGCTCGCAGACACCTGGACCTAACTTTTAAGACAAGAGCAGCACCTGTAACGTACAACATGTCCTCTCCTTGACCATCAGCCATGCAGTGGTAATCAGATGAATTTGGGCTTCCAGAATGGTGTGAAACAGGTGGGGACCTGGGCTCCATCAACAGACTCAGGTTGCTGACCACTAGATCCACAGCAGGGCCCAGGAGACCCGGGAGCACCCATGCTGGATGCTCACCCCCAGTACACGTGTTTTCATGACAATCAACGTCTTCACAAACAGCCCTCCCAGTCCAATAGTGACCCAACAGGGCTGTGAGGGAGGAAGGCCAGGTGAAAGGGAAGGCAGCTTCTGTCAGCCAGGGCCACCAGCCTGACCTTGGACTCCACCAAGAGGCTGCTTTTCTGAGTCCAAATGCCTCGGGCCAGAGTCTGTGTCTTAGCACCCCAAAACATAAATGTGAACCTCTGAAGGTGGACTGAATACAAGGGTACCGAGGCCTAGGCAGGTAAGCACCTGCTGACTCCCGACCAATGCCCAGGGCTCACGGGGCATAAGTGAGGGATACTGTTGAGAAGCAGCCTCAGACCCCCGCACTGTGCAGGAGGTGTGATGGAGGCCACGAGCCCTGAGGGGAAAGCAGAGTACCTAGAAGAGCAGCCAGGGCTCTGCCCTCCAGGCAGGGCCCAGAGAATCTCCAGGGAGCTGGACAGCACCAGGACAGGCTTGGGACCCAAGATAAGCCTAGGCAAAGAATGCATTACAGTAGCCTCTGAACTTCCCATTGGCCTGCAGTGGTCACTGGAAACTGGGGAAAGACCAGCAGGGACATTAAGGAAAAAGAAAGAAAACACTAGCAGTGTGGGGAGGAGGCTGTCTGTAGAAGAGGCCCAAGGTAGCCAGCTGTGGCTAGGATCCTCAAACCAAGAGATTCCTCTTTAAAATAACCCCAAAGGGCCCTTGGGGGTAAGAACAGGATAGTGAAAGCACAATCTCACCAGGGGCCTCCTGCTTCCTTGCTGAGGGCAGGCGAACAACTCCTGGGAAGCTCCTCATGGCACAACTGCCCTGGTCAGAGACAGCAGTGGGGGATTCTGGTGCCCAGGCAATGTAGGGAGGCTCCAAGGACCCACTGGCAAGAACCACAGGAAGCTGAAAGCGGGGTGGGATGATCAGGCTGATCTAGGGGTGCTGCTAGGGCTCAGCAGAAGACAAAGAGGACAGGGGATGAGCAAATCCTCTTTGGAGGTAAACTTGTACAAATCAGGCCTGAGGACCTTGGCAGACACAGATCAATGATGATCAAAGATCAAAGGCCAACTGTGAGGTGGTCAGGGGGAGGAGCATTTGCCTGTGGCTCCAGGGAAGCCACCAGCCCAAGACAATGGCCTGAGGACAGCAGTCCCAAAGCCGCCATACAGTACATGACTGATCAAGCAGAGGAAGCAAGAGAGGCCATCAAAACCAACTCCACTGATAGGAAGGGACCAGGCAGAGCACGTAGAGATGGAACATGTAACTCATAAAACCTGATGACAGATTTACATCCTATCAAACACTGCCCACGAGCTGTTTACTCATTGCAGGGGGGAAAAGCACAACTTCTCCTGGAAAAGCTGAAAAGCTGGCAGGTGCTACCAAAACCAAGTGGTCAATTAAAACCACCAGACAGGCGGGCACTGGTGGCTCACACCTGTAATCCTAGCTACTCAGGAGGCAGAGATCAGGAGGATTGCAGTTCAAAGCCAGACTAGGTAAATAGTTCTGCGAAACCCTACCTCAAAAAACCCTTCACAAAAATAGGGCTGGTGGAGTGGCTCAAGGTGAAGGCCCTGAATTCAAGCTTCAGTACTGTAAAACAACAACAAAAAACCCACCAGACATGAGGTGCAGCAACTTCAGGTGCTTCCTGACCCCAGGAGTAAGAAGGAGCAACACAGCATGCAGGCTGCTCTTGCCTCAGATGCAGAACTAGATGTCAGACAAACCTCAAAACACACAGGGCACGACAGAACTGATGAAACTAGGAGGCTTGGAATTACAGCATATCCTAAGTGAAAGATATGCTGTGATGATACACAGATTATCAAAGACCAGGAAAGGTTCTGAACACAGGTCACCCACAAGACACAGCACAGGTCCCCAACAGAGCACAAGTCCCCCATGACAGAGCACAGGTCCCATAGGACAGAGAACAGATCCCACAGGACAGATCACAGGTCACCAGGACAAAGCACAGCCTTGCTTGTTCCCAGGTGAAGAGTTAGGAATTCTGAATTGAGCAGTAAGTAAATACTGCAGATAATGGGAACCAGAGTCCTTAGTGAGGTCAGTTATGAATCCAGAGAGAGGAAGTGGAACAAGCTGTGTGATGTTGGTCTGGGACAGGGTGTGAGGACAGCTTGTGGATTAACTGATCCTTGTTAAGAGGAATGATAGAATTACAAAATCACCATTTGTCAACCATCATAATGAAATAATTGTAAGGACACACCACTCTGGCAAGATTCATCAATGGACCCTGGGATGCCCAGGTAATTCCCAGAAACAACAGGCTCTACTCTCTCCAAGTGTGTCCACCTGGAAAAGGCAGACGTTATAGGCACACACTAATTACAGAGGGAAAAGTACAAAAGTGCAAAAGGTGAAAGATAATAAAGAAGACCTTGCAGGAGACAAAGGAGGGTCTGATCCTATCAGACAGGTGCCATTTCAGTGCCATTTCACAATGTGAGCACACAGGTTAGTGGAGAACCTTAAGTGCTATTGTGGACCACTGAAGAAAGGCCAAAGCCCTCATCAGTCTATTACTAGGATAGTCGATTGAGTCAGAAAAAATAAAAAAAAAAAGCCTACAATCTCAGCACTCTGGAGGCTGAGGCAGGAGGGTCATGAGTTTGAGGCCAGCCTGGCCTACTGAATAAGACCCTGTCTCAAAAACACAAAACAGAAAAGAAATCAGGACTTGGTCTACATCCATACACAACAAACACAACAACAACTTAACGTTCATCTAGTACCTGGCAAGGTCCTGACTGAATGACGGGGTTTTGTGGTGATGGGGATGGAATCCAGGGTCTGAGCAAAGGGCTCTAATAGAGCCATGCCCACGCTCTACTAGCTTGATTGAGGTAGAGCGAGGGCTCTACCTCGCTCACTAGACACCAGTTGAAGAGATACCTCCGTAGGACTGGGTCAGGATTGAACCCAGGCAGCACAGCTCCTAAGTATCTCTTCTGTAAAACTTAAATATGTCAAACTTTAAGTCTGGGGAAATTGTCTTCCTAACCCTAAAATAGGAAAATATTATCTTTGACCAAATCAGCCAGTGCGGGTGGCTCACACACATAATCTTAGCAACTTGCAAGGCTGAGACTGGGAAGATTGCAGTTCAAGGCCAGCCCAGCAAATAGTCTGTGAGACCCTCCCCTCTCTAAAAAGTAACCAAGCAAAATGGATTGCAGGTGTGGCTCAAACAGTAGAGCACCTGTTTTGCAAGTATGACGCCCTGAGTTTAAGCCCCAGTCTCACAAAAAAAAAAAAAAAAAAAAAAAAAAAAAAAGGTTGGAAGAAAATGGACTAAGCTGACTAAATGAAGAACTTCTGAGACCTGGGTGTAGTGGTGCACAGCTGCAGTCTCAGCAGTCAGCAGCTCAGGCAGGAGGATCGAAAGTTCAAGGCCAGCCTGGGGCACACAGAAAGACCCCCCCCTTCTCTAAAAATATATTTTTTTTATTTCATCAAAATATACCACAAAGTGAAATGACAAGCCACAAATGGGGAGAAGACAGTCATATATGACAAAGGATTCATGCTCAGAATCTATAAAGATAGAAGCATGACAAAGTCACCCTCCAGGAAAGAATTTTCAAATGACCAGTTAAGCAGGATGAAAGGTCACACACCAGGTGCTCCACGCTAGCAGGGACCTGAGCACTCATGGCCCCAGTTTCCGAGGGTCAGGAATTGGGGTAGCCTTGCTGTGCCTCTGGCTGAGTCTCCAGCAAAGCCAGCTATTGGCCAGAATGAGTATCATGCCAAGGCTGGACCAGCCACAGCCACGGCTGGGTCCACTTCTGTGCCCGTGCACAGAGCTCAGTCCTTGCTAGCCAGTGGCAGAAGCCTCCTGCTGCCCCTCCACAGAAAACATCACAACCTGGTAACAGGCTTTCATCAGAGTCCTTCTGTTACCCCACCCTTCACTCCTGCGGTTGAGAAGCAAGACTCTGGGTGGAGCCCACACTGGAAAGGGTACCATGGAGTCACAAGGTCATCTCAGAGGCTGCCTACCAGCTTCACTCTCATGGCAGCTGGGGACATGAAGAGTCACACCACTGAGGGGGCTTTCCACAGCCACTCCTGACACTGGCTAAGTTTGTGATTGTGGAGTTTTCACAGCTAGCTATGCCAGGCCCTGGCACAGAGTCCTACTCACCAGTCCTGGCCCCTGGGTTTCCACGGTCTGTCCGTCCTTAACCCAGAGATTTAAGTCGCCTTCAGAGAAAAGCAGTTCTTGTCCTGCAAAAGATTCAGGGTCAGCAGGGATGTGGCAATGATAAACTGCTCTGAATAACCAATGGCTGACCTCACCTGTGTGGGCCTGCAAGCCAGACAGAGCAACCGAACTTGAAACTGAGGTTTGTGGAGCACTGGTCATAAAGGTCTGAGTCATCATCTCCCTCTCAGGTTATAAAGCACATCCAGGAGAACAGACAGAAACTAAACTGTAACTGTGCCCTCCGGCCCTAAGGGTTGGCTAATACACCTCGCTGGGCCAAGGCCTGGCTCTTGACCCTTCTGCCTAGAGTCCTCATCAAGAAAGTGTACAGCAGGCTAAAGGCATAACCAACTACACGGTGCTGAGCTTGGGATGTATGGGGAGGAGGCTGGGGCAAAGTTGGAGGAACCAACAGTACCACAGTGCAAACTGCTTCACCCAGGGAAGACATCAGCGAGATTACTGACAAAGGCATTGGTTTCTACCCCAGCCAGTAATCAGTTTTCCTAAATTCTAAGCCTGCGGACCCCATGTTAAGAATCTCTCTTCCAGTTGAGCACCAGTGCCTCATGCCTCTAATCCTAAAATACTCAGAAGGCAGAGATCAGAAGGATTGCAGTTTGAAGTCAGCCCTGGGCAAATTCTTCTGAAGAGTCTATCTTGAAAAAACCCATCACAAAAAAGAGCTAATGGAAGAGCGCATGCCTAGGAAGCATGAGGCCCTGAGTTCAAACCCCAGTGCCATCAAAAAAAAAAAAAAGAAAGAATCTCTCTTCTGGTACGAGCAAGTCAGGATGTTTTCAAACACCTGGTCAGGACATACAGATTGGTTCAACACGTCAGTATGGCATTTTAGACAAAATGTATTAAGTCTACAAATCCTACACATGGGAATTCAGAAATTCCACCTATGAGAGTTTACCCTATGCAAACAACCCAGCAAAGGGCCCCTCTGTAGTGCACTACTGTGCCCAGTCAGCTTTGCTTTTAAAATGGAGACGCTGGGCCAGGTCCACTGGCTCACAACTGTAATTCCAGCTACTCTGGAAGTAGAGATCAGGAAGACCTTGATTCAAGGCCAGCCCAGGCAAAAACTGTGCAAGCCCCATCTCAATCAGCACCAAGTTTGGTGGCATTCGCCTGTTACCTAGCTATGCGGGAGACACAGATAGGAAGATCATAGTTCAGGCCAGCCCTGGCAAACATGTAAGACCCTACCTGAAAAATGACTAAAACAAAAGGGGATCAGGGACATTGCTCAAGTGCTAGCGCCTGCCCAGCAAGCATGAGGCTCTGAGCTTAAACCCAGCGTCACCAAGAAACAATAAGGATAAATAAAATGGAAAAACTGCAAGTCCCAGATGTCCACACAAAGGAATTCAGGGCAGTCCCACCACCAATGCTACACAATTCACCCTCCATATTCTTAGGGTGGTTTGTGCAGCATGATCCAAGTTTACAGGTACAAACTGTTCACAACACACCACGTGTCACCAGCTGCAGCTCTGGGAGGGGAACTCTGAGATCCACTACATTCTTCTCTCTACATTTTTTAATTTCTCAGCATTGAAAATGGGCAGTTGGGCACCAGTGGCTCATGCCTGTAGTCCTAGCTACTCAGGAGGCAGAGACCAGGAGGATCATGGTTGGAAGCCAGCCCTGGGCAAATAGTTCCAGAAACCCTATCTCAAAATGGCTCAAGCAGTAGGAGCACTTGCCTAGCCTGAGTTCAAACCCCAGTGCTATCCAAGAAAAAAGAAAAAGAGCAGGATGCCGGTAGCTCACGCCTATAATCCTAGCCAACTCAGGAGGTAGAGATTAGGAAGATCGCAGTTCAAAGTCAGCCCAGGCAAATACTTCAGGAGATCCTATCTGGAAAAAAAAAACCAGATAGGGGCTGATGGAGTGGCTCAAGGTGTAGGCACTGAGTTCACCCAACAAACCACAAAGAAAGAAAGAAAGAAAGAAAGAAAGAAAATGGGCTACCTTCATTTAAAAACTTGTTTGCTCTGTTAATGTCCCTTCTTGCATTTAAGTGTCCTTAAAATGCTTTTTTTCAAGTTCATGTTTAGTAAAGCACATTGCAGTCCATTGGTCAAAAAACCTTAAAAAGCCCAAGCAGTCTGCTTTCCAAGTAGTGTTTCACTTTTTGTTTTATTCTTTTGCTGCAGAATGCAATGAGTTACAAAAAATTCAGAGCATGTGTATTGCAGAGAAATTGCTTCTTTGTAAAAATCCCCAAAATATACTAGTTCAAGAAAAACCACCTGCCTACTAGAATGAAGTGGCAGCTTGGGACCTGGCTGGGAGTTATCCCAGCCCAATGTACAAAATGAACAGTCCACAGGGTCCAGCACAGGTCAGCCTCTGTCCGATCTGCACTTTTCCCTTTCCAGCAGTTTGCTGCCAACAGAGGAAGGAGCGTCTTAGATCACTGTGCCTTTGCACGGGTATCTGCTGCCCTATCCCCTCCGAGCCGAGCACAAAACCAAGCCTGCAGCCCGCCCGTGTCCCGCCCAACTACTGTCCCGGTCCACAGGTGTCCCGCCTACCCGTGTCCCCGACCCACAGGTGTCCCGCCTACCCGTGTCGCAGGCCTACAGGCGTCCCTGCCCTACCTGTGTCCTGGACCCGCGTGGCGGGACGGAGGCCGGGTCTCCAGGCAGACGAACCCCAACGTGGCGGGGCCGGGGCTCCCGAGGAAGGGGGCGGCCGGGCTGGCGCACGGAGGCCCCGCCAGGACAGCCCGGCGTGGGCAGGGTGGCCGCGGACCTGCGCTCATCCACGTCTCCCGCCGGCGCGGCCCCGGGGCGGCGCGCGGGGCAGCCGGCCGCGCGCCTCCACGCGCCCCGGCGCCGGCGGGGCCTCCGTGCGCGTCCGGGACGGGGGTGCCGGGTCGGCTCCAGGCATAGGGGTCGGCTGGATCCCCGCGCGGCCCGGGACCAAGGAGCGCCCAGCGGAGCCGGGGGCAGCGCGGACGGGAGCGCAGGAGCTTGACGCCAAGGGAGCAGCAAAGGGTCGTACGCCCCCAGGGGGGGTCCGCAAGCCAGGCAAGTCGGGGCTCAGAAGCCCCGTCACTCAAGGCGGGGGCCGGAAGTGACGCACGGGAAGCCACGGCCGACTCCTAGCCACCCCGAGGACGCCCGTCGCCCGGCTGAGACCTGCAGCTGAACTACAGCGCCGCCGGCGGCCGCAGAGCACATTGGCACTTTCTGGTCCGTACCACAGCGGCCGGGCGGGGGGGCAGTGCTGCTGAACCCCAGCGCTCCCCGACAGCGCACGTTGGTACCTTCCGGACCGATCCACCGGAGCTGAGCCGGAGGGGAGGGAAAGGCGGTGTCGGCCCCCCCCGCGACCGCTCAGTAGCCCTCTCCAGACCGTACCACCGCAGTCGGGAGGGGAGGGTCGTACTGCCAGGACTGCTCCACTAGGCGGGTCAAGCTGCGCCGACCTTTAAGTCACGGGCCCAGTTTGTGCTTCAGAGAACAGAAAATACGCCAAATAGGCCTAACTTAGAAGACAAAGGAGTTTGCTGCGGGATCCAACGAGCTCGAGGGACCCAGTCTCAACAAAAGCCAGGAGCCCGGGCTGCGGGGGCGGGGCCGAGGCTGCGTCCTGGAGAGGGAGGTGCTGATTGGCTGAGCCCCAGAGGACCCGCCTCCCAGGCCAGACGACGCATGCGTTGCACCTGCTGGCCGGCGGGTGCACCTGTGGCCACCGAGCGCCCGGGACTGCTCAGCTACTTCCCTTTGTGGCTGAGTGTTCTTTTAGAAGGTTTCGTTTGTCAGCCCTTCGCTAGCTTTTCTTTGGTTATTTTGAAGTTAATAAAGTTTTTCATTCAGTCGTGGCCAGGAGTAGTTCATGGACAACTTCCTCCCCCTGATTCCCCCGTGGTGCCCGCAGGTGGGGCTGGCGAGCTGCGGTCCTGGTCTCCTCATCATGGCCTTCGGGAGAGCTGGGGAAGAATGGCCCTTGTTTGCTGGTGTAGAGACTCGGTCCTGAAGATGGAAAATACACAACAAAAAAAGCGGGGGAGGTTGGCCCACTCCTGTTATCCCAGCACTTAGGAGGCTGAGGCAGGAGGATCCTGAGTTCCAAACCGGCCTTGGCTACACAGACTTAAAAAGAAAAAGGAAAAAACAGAAGTGAAGTTAGAGTTCCTTAAATAGGAATCCCCAGAACACCAGAAAATACAGCACACCATCCATCCAGATCCAGATGACTTCACAAATCCTGAAATGTGCCAAGGCTGGACACACCCGGCCATAGATCCCCTAACTTAAGCTGTCCTCTAAGAAAAGCCTTAGGACTTTAACGAATGGTTCTTTTTGTTTGGAACCCGCAGATTTTCAACAATGGACTTGAAAAGGAATCTGGAGTGTCTGATGATCTTGGCTATGGTGTGGTTCACACCTAATAATCTCAGCTGCTTGAGGGACAAAGGCAGGAGGAGCTCAAGTTCCAGAATATTCAGGGCAATGTTAGGGAAACCCTATGTCAAAAGTGAAATAGGAAGCCCTGAGTTCAAACTCCAATCCCACCAGGAAAAAAAAAAAAAAAAGCCAAATAAAAACAAAAGGGCCAGGGGCCCGACTCAAGTGGTAAAGTGCTTGCCTAGCAAACATCAGAACCTGAGTTCAATTCCAGTACTGAAGAAAAGAAAAAAAGCTAACATGGTGTTGGAATTAAAGACCCTCCGGTGCCGAAAACAGACACACAAGAGACAGAAAATCTTGACAAGGCCATTTCTCTTGATCAACAGGGTGCAAGCATGTGCTCACTCCAGCTAAGCAACATGCAAGCACAAAATGGCTGACAGTGGCTCCTCCTTACATCCCTGACTCAGTCGTACCCGTTCCTCACATGGGATTTGTCCAGGTCAGAGGTTCACAGTCTCCCTCGACTGGCTAAAAGGCTTGGGGGATGGGTTAGGGCATGCAGTCTGGCAGGCAATGGAGTTGTACAGGAATCCAGAAAAGAGGCAAGGACCCTTTAAACATGCAAGTCACCTGAGATGGCAACCTGAGGAATTTTTAAGTAGTCTAAGAGGGTAACAAATACTTTGATAGAAAAGATCGTTTTTCTTACAATGGGACAGGCTGTTTGCTGCTATATTAATGACTCCCCTGGCACCCACCTGACACACTTTCCTAAAATCCCAACCTAATTCAGCAAGTAGTATTAGCATAGGCAGTAAGGCAGGCATGAGCAGGACCAGGGAATATCCTACTACAAGACTCCATTCTAAAACCCCCGTATGAGGAGCCAGGTCCCAGTGGCTCATGGCTGTAATCCCAGCTACTCAGGAGGCAGAGATCAGGAGGCTCAAGGTTCAGAACCAGCCCCTGGTAAATAGTTCCATGAGACCCTATCTCTAAAAAACCCTTCACAAAAAAGGACTGGTGGAGTGGCCTAAGGTGTAAGCCCTAAGTTCAAGCCCCAGTACAGGGGGAAGAAAAAAAATATATATGAGGGCTGGAGCCATGGCTCAAGTGGTAGAGTTCTTGCCTAGCAGGTGCAAGGCCTTGAGTTGGAACATAATACTGCAAAAAAAAGCAAAAAAAAAAAACCCCAGAAAATGTAAAATGCTCACATGGCCTACACCCTGGGCCAATGATTAAGATAATGGCTTTTGTCCTCCTGATGGAACCCACTTCTCATATTAAGGTTAAACGGGAAGGAGCAAATGTACATGGGTGTGCTTGCTCATACCCAGGCAGCCTCTGCAAAGTGACCATTTGGGGTGGGCCAGAAGAGGAGGGCTATCAATTTTGCCCCAGCTAGTCACCCCATCCTATTGGAAAATATAAGGAACTGCCAGATAAAGGTCACACCACATGTGGAAAAGAAAGATTTATTACAGACTGCTGGCTGACCCTCAGGTCAGGGAGCAGCAGCTTGTCTGAAATGGGTAGTGGGCTTTATAGGAGGGGCCAAGCCATGGGGGAGGGAGAGAGTCTCTGGTCTCCGATCATCTGCGATCACCAGAAAATAGAACAGGTCGACTATACTGGCTAGTTGAGTAACTGGAAGTTCCTGAGTTTTGTTTGGGTGCTAGCCTCGGGACCTTCTGTCTGTCCCAAGAATGCCAGGGACCTAACAGATAAAACCCCATGTCCCCACAAGTTCCTCAATGTCACTTTTTTTTTTTTTTTTTTTGGTGGAGGGGTTTTGGTTTTAATCTCAAGGCTTTGAGCTTGCTAGGCAAAAGCTCTACAACTTAAGCCACACCCCCAGCCTCAAAGTCAATCGTTACCTAAATTGTCCTCCTCACCCTGGAGGTCTAGTTCTGCCTTCCTAGTAAGTCACTTTACTATGTTCTTACTCATCATGGTTCTTTTGTGGCACCTGAGGCAGCGCCCTATGTACCCAAGAGCTGAGGAATATCTAAAACTCTCCAACAACTGCTAACAGCTGATTATGGGTCAAAAACAAATTTATAACACCCTGAACTGCTTACATTTCATGTGGGATGGCGTATTTTAATGATTTTGAAATGTCAAGAGAGTCTCAGTGCCTTCCCTTCCTGGGAAGGACCCCCAGCTGAACAAGAAACATCACAGGGGTGACCAAGTAATGTCTTGGTGGTCAGGATACTGGAAGCTGTGTGATGTGTGACTGAGATGTGTGTGTCAGGTGACACGCAGGGAAAGCGAAGTCGTGATCCGCGGTTCTGAGGCGACATCATACTGTTTAAGGTGGAATTAGATCCAGGTCAGCAGCTTATACTGACCTGCAGGCTACCAAGAGGTGCCCCAAGCTCCCAGGAAGAACGTGGGCAGAGACAGACAAAGCAAAAAAGAATCAGAGTGCAAGAAACCTCCAGGGCAAGGGGGGCCCGGTTGAGCTCCTGATAGACAGAGCACAGTCAACCGGAAGGGAGAAACGGGAAATAAAGGCAACACAGAGGGGGGCCAGGAAACAAAGGCCAGGATAAAATACCCTCTGAGAGCCCCCTAGGGAAGATATTAAAATATTGGGATGACAGCCCCCGTACTATAGGGAAAAAGAAACAAAGAATGGTTAAATACTCTTGTTTTTAAACGGATCTTAAAGATTGGGTTTTTTTGGCCAAAGTTTGAGTCTGATGAGGACCGGGTCTGTCAACTGTTGATTGAGCATGTTAGCGACAAGCGCTCAGTCACTCGGGAGATGGAATATGCCCTCTGTTGGTGACAGAGTCCTGTACTCCTGTTTCCACTTCAAGAAGAAAAAAAACCAAAACCCAAAACCCCATTCTGAATGGGATTTACTCTGCTCCCTGCCCCCCCACGCCCCCTTTGGTCTGCTCTTCCTCCAGCTCAGGCACCAGAGCCGGCCCCAGACCTACCCTCCAGGCTTCTGACTCTCACCTCCACCCCCTTCAACTCCCAGCCCCTCAGGCTTCTGCTTGAAATTACAAAAACTAGAAAATTGCAAAAATAGATCCATAGAGGAATTATTAGGAGAGGCACAAAAGGTATACGTAAGGAGAGGGGAAGAAAAGCAAAACCAAAAACCAAAGATCATGTTATCCACAATCGAGCAATTAATAGGGAAAGGTCAAATCAGTACCCTATTGGAAGCAGGTTAATAGGGAAAGGGCAAACCAATATCCTATTGGACCTCAACCAGCCCAGCCTCCCTCATGGGGTATAAGAGACCAGAAAGTCAGAAGATGAAACAAAGAAGAAGGGGAAATAAGTGCTTTAAATGTGGTGAGACTGGACACTTAAAGAATGTCCAGAATGGGAAAGACAGTGTAGGAAACTGTTCCCTTAATGCCCTTTGATGAAGAATAGGAGCCTAGGGGCTCATTTACCTTGACAGGTCCCACTCAGAGCCCTTGATAAATTTAGAAATGGGGACCACAATGTGAAGTTGTCACCTTCCTGATTGACTCATAGGCTTCCAGATCCTCCCTCTGTCTTCTGCCCAGTGGTTCAATCTATTCCCGAGAGAGGATGCTAATTTCCGGGGTAAAGGGAGAACGGTTCCAGTTAAAATATTACAAGAAACAGATGTTTATTTCCAAGACAGGACCACTAAGATATAATTTCTCTAGTCCCTGAGGCAGGTGCCAACCTGTTTGGAAGAGATCTAATGACCCAATTAGAAATCAGTTTACATGTAAAAAGGAATAAAATACAAACAAGCCCTTATCACAGCTCTGGTGCTAGCCCTCTCTTGAACAGACTTTTCACCTCCTTGTGAATGTAAATAAGGGAGTTGCCCTCAGGGTGTTAACCCAAAAACATTGGGGTCAATGTCAGCGTGTGGTCTTATCTAAATTCCTAGATCCTGTCACCTGAAGTTGGCCTGAGTGCATTCAGGCATCAGTGGCTATAGCCCTTCTAAGGGAAGAAAGTAGAGAAATCACCTTTGGGGGAACCTACTTATTAGCACTCCCCATCAAGTTAGGACAGTCTCAAACCAGAAGTGGGCAGATGCCTGACGGATTCCAGGATCCTGAAGTATGAGGCTGTCTTGCTAGAAAAGGATGACCTGACTGTTCCTATTGATGAATCCCCAAACCCAGCCACTTTCTTGAAAGGGGAGGCTGGAAGG